ATTTGATTTTCCACTCTCTTTCCCTGCAAGATGGAGGAGCCAACAGCAGTGAAATGCAATTTGTTGCAGTCTGTCATGTGTTCCCACCAGAAGTCCAGCAACCCTCAGACTTCCTTACAGCACATGCATGCAAAGCACTAAATTGAATCAGGCAAAATCTAGGATACTGGTACAAACAAAAAAAAAACCAAACCAGTATTGATTTTCAGAAACCTCCCAAGAGATGATCAGATTCTGTTTAAGACTCTTAGGCAAATTTACAGTATGATGCAAGCATGTGAAGCACTCTGTGTTGTTCAAAATCTCTAACGCTCCATTAAAAGTGAGACTTTGAAGAAACAAGAGGTCTGGCACAAATCTTAAAAGCAAGAAAGAATGCTACAAACCCAAAATTCATACTGAACTAAAGTGAAGGCAGCACTAATAAGAACTTTGTAAGAAATTAACAGGCCGCTGATGACAAATTCTTCTGGAGAAAGAACTTTTTCCAAGCCCTTTATATGCAAACAGACACAGCAATTTTCCATGTCAGAGCTGAACTCCAGGGGAACTCTTCTCAAGGTGGCATGGCACAGTCTCATCTTACACTTAAAACATTAACTTCAGCCATGATGCAGAGTTCCTGAACCTGTGCATCCCACAGCCCTCTGGGGCACAAAAAACTACCTTATGCTGACTTTTTTACTATGTCTAATGCAGCCACACACTACTGACAAATACAGAACCACAATGCACTTCATGCTGTGTTTCTTCAGTGGTGGAAAGTCCACTGGCATCAGTCAGCATCTTTATTAGAGGGGAATCAGTTTCTCTCCCCTCTCTTCCCCCATTTTAAGATTTAATCCAAAAGAGCTGATTGTTCCAGCATTCTCTACCATGCATTAAGAGCAGTGAAAAACAGTCATAACATAATAATGTCAATATTAAGAATCATTAAAATATGCAAACAGTAGTAACTACTCCAGTGTTTTTATTACACAGAGATGCACACTTTTCTGTAATAAGATATTAAAAAGTCATGTTAGACATCATCCTAACTTCTATCTGCTTTACATAATCCATGTAATACCCTTCAGCCTTAAGGAGCCTGACACACTTCCTGATAACAAAAAAAAGTATTATCAGATTGAAGTGATAAAGTGTGGTGATGTGAAAAAAAAAAAAAAATCAAAACAGAAATAACACTTTTAAGAACAGCTACACTACAAGGAGTAGTATAAAATTAAGAGTAGAGTTTAGCTCCAGATTAAGACACCTATATCTAGACATGCTTGTAGACACCTGAGCTCACAGCTCAGCAAAGATCTAGAGAATACAATAAGGAATCAAAACAGCTCTTGTGTTCACCCTGAACTGCACTCACAGGAGACCAACCCCACTCCAGGCTCTACTGACTGCATCTCCACTCCACTACCATGGAAGCTGGAATATGGAACTTGTACATGGACCCCAACAACTTGGCATTTCAAGCTTAACTCAATTCTGTCTAAAATTGCTAATTGCTAGCAAAAAACCACACTAACTCAAGTCAATTACAAATCCAGAGGACTGGAGGTAGCAAAAATTGCTCTATAATAAAAAAGGAAGTGGTGGGACAATCTTGGGAATTTCAAATTATTAAATATTTTTTCACCTATTAAGTTATTAAAAACTATTATAAACACAATACTAACAGAAGCTGTCAAACTTATACAGTCACTTACATAGTGATAACAGTTACAAAAAACATCCATTAATCTTATTTTCAAAAGTTGGTTCTCCATATTTACAGTAAGACATGTTGCAGAGCCCCTGGGCACTGTGTGACCCTTTGCTGCTTCTCAGCCCTGCTCACAAACAGAACTCTGTTGTCTTTTAGACCTGCAGAGGCAGCACACCTAGAAGTAGCAATAAACTGCCTAAGCTTATCTTTGTCATCAAAGATGAACAGCTTATAGATTCTGGAAGTAAACAGGGAACAGATCTGTTGAGTAACTGACCAGTTTCAGTCAGGAGGATGGAACCAGGCTTCTCAGTGATGTCCAGTGATAGGACAAGGGGCAATGGGTGCAAACTGGAGCACAAGAGGTTCTACATAAACATAAGGGAAAACTTTCTCACTGTGAGAGTGACAGCCTGGAACAGGCTGCCCAAAGAGTTTGTGAAGTCTCTTTCTCTGGAGACATTCAAAACCCATCTGGATTTAGTCCTGTGTGACCTGTCCTAAGTGATCCTGCTTTGGCAGGGGGGTTGGACCAGCTGATCTTCAGAGGTCCCTTCCAACCCCTAATATTCTGTGACTCTGTGACTTACAAAGAAGACCCAGGGCACATGGTAATTTAGGTATGGAATTCAATCATTCTAGGTTGGGTGACACTTCAACCTATTTGCTACACATTTTAGGAAGCAGACTAATTCTCAACAGTCTTCATGATTTTTTGTATTATTTCACTTCACTAAAACTTCCAAAGAATGTATTCAAGATTTAAAAAAGAAGGTCATTTACTAAGTTTTGTATCTTAGCAACACGACACACAGAAAATACTAAGTGTAACTCACAACAGTGTAAAGTTGAGACTTACACTTAAGCTAAGTTATACATTTTGGCCAGAACTGTAGAATCACTCCTCTCCAGCCAAAAGAGGTTTTCATTACATTTCAGAATTTTCCACATAAATCTTTCACTGACCACTCTGAAAGCCGGGACACTGCAGACAACGCAGCACAGGTTGTATCAAACCAAACAGACAAACACAACCACCACTGCTGTCTGAGCTTCACACCTCTGAGGCACCATCAGGCACAGCTGCTCCCAAAATAAGCATCTTTAGTTGCGTCAAAGCATGGAACAAAGACTTATTAAGCTAAAACACTATGGATACAACAAACCCACAACAGAAGAAAAGCCCAAGGGGGGAAACAATTAATTTGTATTCACTCCACCCTTTCTAAAATAATGCCTCTTTGCCCCCCTTTCTGTACAGCAAGACCAGGTATGCAACCCTCTTCCTAAGCCAGTTCAGCAAAAATCCAAGCTACATTCCATCACTACAGCAGCAGTGTTGTGCTTTTCACTGTCAGTGTGTTGCACCAATAACCTGAAGGGATGAATCAGACATCAACCATGTTGTAACCACCATGTAAGAGACAGAGGCAACAGAACAGGAATAGAGTGTGGGGAATAAGGCTGGATGGGTAGAGGGAGTGCCAGATCCCAAGGAAGCAGATGGAGATGATGCTCTGTCAATTGGATCTCACAACCAGTCTCCACTGTACAACTGAACACACTGTGTGGCATCACAGCTGGGGAAAAATATATTAACCCTAACTAAACAATTATTCCTTATCTTGCTGTAAGAATAACAGTCCCTTGGCATATTTGTTTCTGACCACAAAGGAAAGAAAAACATTATTGTTACCATGGTTATTTTTTTAGTATAGTTCCTCCTACCCTTAGCACAGAGCAAGATTACTTTTACAGAAAGTGCTGAAATTCCTGAAATTGCTCCATTGTATTGAAGTAAGTTATCCTGTTCATTTATTGAAGATGTTGAGTAGCTGAAATAAAACCTGAAAGACCCACATTTCATTGAAGGCTAATAAAATAAAAATCACAACTTTATTTAAATGCTAATTTTTGAATGACAAACTATGACAGCACTGCCTGGAGCAGTTGGGAATGAAAACTTTATAATGCAGAGAGATCCACCACACTTATTTGATCCTATGCAAATGACTAAGTGAATGCAACAAATCGATTCAAATAACCAACTGAAACTGCAAAAAACAGGAGCACAGAGTAATCACAACTACAGTGTCTACAGGCAGACTTGTTGTCATTTTGCATACAAGGGAGGGGACATTACCACTAGACCTTGGCAATGTGCATTTGCCTCTTTATTGAAAGTCTTTCTTAAGTACTGATTTGGTATTTTAGTTAGACACTTAAACTGTAAGTGAAAAGGTTCATCTCTATTCAGACACATTTCCTATTGTTTTATTTAAAAGTCTGTGACATGACTAGAACACAGGACAGAGCTAAGATCTATTTTGATGACTGGTAAAGTAATATAGTTATAAACACTTGGTTAAATCCAACTGTAAGAAAACAAACCAAAAACATTAAATCTGTTCTTGGATAAGCATGAAATGACTGGATGTTAAAAAAGCTTTGCTGGAACTGCACACATACATTCAGCTGCTCACTGGTTTGAGGTTTGGTTTTAATTATTTCCATCTACCTTTTAAGGAAGTGCTTGCAGATTGAAAATCAAAAGCACCATAATGCTGAGTTTAGAATATTGAAACAAGTTTCCATGAAACCTACCTGTGGACAGTTCACACAGACAGCAGACCTAGCTGTACTGTTTTAGATATGTCCGGAATTATTCCACAGAAATGGCTTTCAAAACTAAAGCTTCCCAGTAAGTTTAGTGCCTACCAGAAACAATTTCAGAGATTAAAATTGTGGAGGGTGTGGGAAAAGTCAGGAGGATTCCCATGCTCAACGAGTTTTAAGAAACATTAGTATTTATTTAATGTTTCTACAGAATTCAAGAGTATTTAAGCATTCTGAGACATTAACAAGCTTTGACAGGAATTGCTTATTTGGTTGACAAACTGTTTACTTCAGATCACAGGGAAGTACCAGTCTGAAGGAAGTTGGAACCTATTAAGAGGTCAAAGTAAGATTTAGAGGATTTCTATGCAAATTGCCATTATGATATAAGGGAAGTTAACAGAGAGTGTGATGATCTGAAAAAAAAAGCAAACCAACTAGATTTTCATACTTTGTTTTTAACTGCTGTCTCACCAGAGATGTACCTTAAATGCAGGCCTCCTTTCATGGCAACTTAAATACTGGACACCAAAGCAGTGACTGAGAACAGTTAACAAAAATACATGTTACTTCAAACGAAGTCCCAGAAATAACTGGACTAGCATTTTAATAAATCAAAATAAAGTATCAGGGAAAAAACCCTACATATAATATGAAATTTACATATATTTCTGTATTTTACCCACTTCATCTTGTTATGACCCTGGTGTGTTCCAACAAGCCACAGAGATGCAATTAATCTGTTAAACAACACACAGATTTGAGAACAAGGTGCAGAAGAGTGAAGAGGCCTTCACTCTGCAGTTCCCTTTGCCCTGCCACTGGCTTCCCCAGGCTGCCTACTATGGACAGCAGCTTCAGCTTTCAGCAGATAAACCTCTGAGTGGATTAGGACTAACAGCAACTGCACAATTAACACTTTCCATGAGATATTATCCTGAAGTCAGCTAGATGACTATTAAAATATTACTTACAAAATTAGGTTTAAATTATGGTTTGCAATACATAATAATACAAAAACCTACATATCTCAAAGGGAATTTACACCAAATGGCCATTAAATTCTTTGCCAGAAATGCCTTATTTCAAAGCCATGGAAAACAAAGCCTAATCTAAACAGACTGCACCCCTAAAATCAATATACGTAGGTGATCCTTCCTAAGGAGACCCTTGCTCCTAAAGACTCTTTCCAAGGCTGTGCCTCACCTTGGTTTTCACTTTTTCCATCAACAAAGTCTTAGTTTCCTACTCTCAAAATAACCCAAGAAAATAAAATTCCCAGTACCTGTAGAGCACCCACTGAAGACATCCATTTAAGAAAGCCCATGTGCCACCAACCAGTGAAAGTATGAAGAGAGGGTAGTAAGTGTGCAATAGTGTGCACTATTGCAAATAAATAAATAATACTAAGGTTTAGGAAAAAAACCAAACATTCATTTAAGTGTGCATGGACTCAGTACGCACGTTGCATTGGATGTTATAAATCTTGTTGCTGGGGGAAGAACAACATCCATTAAGGTAAAAGATAATACCAGTGAAGAGAGAGCAAAATAAACAAGTGCTATACCAATGACTTCACAGCTTTTAGCTCCCTCTAGTGACAAAATAAGAATTTCATAGAGATGATAATCCTGCTCTCTACACACGAACAGAAAAACAATGTGTTTGGTTGTCTGTGCTGCACTTTACTACTATTATTTTCCTCATGCAAGCTTTCTACATTAAAATGTGACAAGTTATGCTGTTTAATCTAGATGCATAATTTCAATTGTCAGGCAAAGTGAAAAATCCATACATATCTAAGCTTTAAGCACTGTGCAAGGACAGCTGAAATAGAAGTCTTTCCCAGACATTGTTACCCTTAATCTGTAGTTTAGAACATTTCACACAGGAATACATGGAAGAATTGTTGACCATGTTTTTAAGTAGTTTTCACCACATCATTACTGCAGAACATTTCATTGCTGTGTCAGGTGCTTCAGATGTTTAGATAAAGAGATGAGAGAGACTTTCAAAGACAGGAATGTAAAAGACCACTCATGAATCAGATGGAAAATCAAGTTTAAACAGTTCAGTATAGCACAACTTTTGCAGAGAAGCAGCATGGTACAGCTTTTAGCTTTCCCAAGTACTTAATTCCAGAACTGCAGAGCTTACTGGTTTTTCAGGCCTCATTGGTTCTAAAAGCAATTTTTTTTATTGTTAGCCAAGAGAGGTCAAGCCCTACATGGCTGCCTACAGCATTTAAAATGTTATTCTCTCATGGCTGTTGCTAGTGCCTGCTTGATGGTGTGTCCTGTTCACTTCCAGTTGGCTCTACTGGAGCGCACTTGTGGAACACACCAAACTGTAAGTGCTAAGCTACTATCAGGTTATGAGAAGCGCAGAGGCACCAAAACATGAAGTTGTCACAGCAGCAAAGAATCCAACTAGCATTTAAATTACTTAGTATGTTCTAAAAACAACTCAGATTGCAAAGGTGATAAGGCTCGGTTTTGGGTGGTGTTTTTACTCTGATGTAGAACCTATGTATAGCAGCATATAAAACTACTCAAACTGAAATGCACAACATTCTTCAAAAGCCCAAAAAGGATTTAAGCCCTACTCTAAAAAAAACCCCAAAACAAACCACAACTAACCAGAAATACCCTACTAAAAGTAGAAGAGGGAATGCTGCACATCTCCACCACTTCTGTTGCACCATCAGAGACAGAACATTTCAGTAGTGCAGATGAAATACCTGGACTCTAAACTCCATTGCAATACAATGTCAGAGCCAACAGAGCTCATCCTAGGTCCTGTCAGTTTGGCAACACAGGCTATTCCCAGTAACAGTCCCTAGAAGTCCATTCATCAACTAGGGATTTTGCTCATATATCCCAACAATCTCTCTTAAATCAAGGAATCTGATGTTGCTCACAGGAAAACAATCTCTAACTACAGGGACTCCCCTCCTCTTTTAATGGCAGAACATGGTGTTTCTGTCTGGAGAGTAAGATATTAGAGAGAGGTATGAAGACTACATGTAAATTGACTTTCCAAGTTCTGAAAAGACTGTCATATTATTCATTTTTGCAAAGACATTTTTCAAATCAACGTCCATGTGTCTGATTACATGAAAATAGTTCTGGTTTTATAGTTAAAACTGGTGCTCCTTGCCAAGGCAACACAGCACCAATGCTGTGAAACAGCAACTACTGTGAAACATTTCTAGCCATAAGCAAGATCACCAAAAAGGACACGTACTTTTATTTCAATTTAAAATAAATAAATAAATAAATAATATTTCTTCTTACATAATTCTAGTTAACAAATGCACTGGACAGTATGTAGCTTGCTATTGGAACTACATAGTTTGATATGACACCAGTCCTCAGAGAAGGACTTGCATATGAAAAGCAAGAACTTGACTCACTGCCTCTACAAAGTATTGGGAAAGTGAACAAAATTTTTTAGTGAGTAAAATCCTCAGTATGACTACTAAAGAAAACAATCTTGACAACAATTATTAGAAGGACAAATCTGTCACACCTGAGCAGAGTTTTGAAGGGCACTAACTTTGTGTACCAGTTCTTACTCGTCCTAAGCACTTAAGGCACACCAGTTTTAATAAACACCAGTTTGCAAAAAACAGATGCTTTTCAAGGGGAAAGATTTCACCTTTCGAGCCTGTTCCTCAGCTCGTTCTTTCTTTATTTTTTCTAGTTCAGCCAGAAGAGCTGCAGTGTCATCGTCATCACTGTCTTCCAAGTCCTCATCTTCATCATCCTCCTAAAAAGCAACAAATGGAAACAAGAAGCAGCTCATTCATTTCATTTAACAAAAACAGCTCTTCATTCTGAAGATTATTGCAGAGACATGTTTCTCATATAAAACAAAACAAAAAAGGGAAAAAGGCCCCCAGGCCTGCCCAGCTAAGGCTGCAATTTGTTGCTGATTGACTTCTGAAGTACCTGGGTGCTTGCAGCAACAGCAAATACAATAAAAATTGTTTATTTGCTCTTGTACAGTGAAGTCAAGACAAAAATCCATTTGTGATTTCTGGATGACTGAAATTAATTTCTGTAATTCAAATGCTCTGTAGCCAGCAGATTCTAGAGAATAGCTGTCTTCAACTACTTTCTAATCATTGTAATGTTAGTCATTATAATAGCGTGACCAAATACCCCATCCAAAATTGCTGGGACCAAATATAACAGGATTAAAAAACCTTAGCTTATTGTCAAGCCTTAGACCTAACCCTTAGGCATCAGAATGAGGAGAGGAGCCAAAAGCATGAATCCAGTGCTCACGCTGACTTTGCATCCTAACAGTTTTACCTTAGGGAAGTCTAACTAACCCATCAGTTGACCACTGCCCCTACTTTAAGTGGTATTTTCAGTTCCCTAGTCTTTGTCTGCTTTCCAAGAACACCACTACAGCATGGACCAGAATCCTCTGAACTGCTCCGTACTTCCACTGCAGTACAGTAACTGTAAAAGGAAGACATGCTGGAACCTGTATTAAATCTTTAGCAAACCTAAAATGAAAGTACATATTCTACTAACAGAAAATCCTGAAGGCTGGACAATGAAAAGCAAGAAGACAGAAAAAGATACATACATCAGTAAGTGGATCATCTGCATCAAGGTTTGCTGCAGGAATCTGGTCTAGCCGAGGCTTCTTAGACACAGAAGATGATGTTGTGTGTTCTATGGCACAAGATTTAAAAAAAAAAAAAGCCACCAAGTGACTAAGTCACTTAATTTAACAACATCTAATGACAGAAAGCAAAAATTCTTCAAAAGATTGTATTAGAGTACGAGATACAAGCTTCTGCTTACTTTTTTCTCACTTCTGAATTCTAATGCCCATGCAGATTCCTCCCCTGCAGATATGCCCAAGGGAAGCTGTAACATCCACAAATTTACAATTTGGCCTCCCGAAGTTCTTATGAAGTCATTATTTCAGAAACAAAGAACAGCAGAGGAAAAGACTGAGGAGAAATATCCTTATTCTATATATCACACTGGAGGGTTCCCATCGGAGACCACCCCAAAGCTGTTGGCCAGTTAGGTTCAAATCACATCTGCTTTTATCTGTGAGCCTGAAAGCCCCATAATACCTTCACTCCTAAAGTACCATAATTTTGTCAAGCTTAGCATTACAAGTGACTAGGCTGTGTGGCCAGCAGATTGAGGGAGGTGATGCACCCCTTCTACTCCACCCTGGTGAGACCCCACCCCAGAGTACTGTGTCCAGCTCTGGAGTCCTCAGTATAGGAAAGACATGGACCCATTGGGCAGGTCCAGAGAAGGGGGATGAAACACTTCCCTGATGAGGACAGACTGAGAGGTGGAGCTGTTCAGCCTGAAGAAGAGAAGGCTCCAGGAGACCTTATTGTGGCCTTTCAGTACTTAAAGGGGGCTTAAAATAAGATGGGAACAAACTTTTTAGCAGGCCTTCTTGTGATGGGACAAGAGGTGATGGCTTTAAACTAAAAGAGGGTAGATTTAGACTAGATATAAGGAAGAAATTTTCTGCAGTGAGGGTGATTAAACACTGGAACAGGTTGCCCAGAGAAGTGGCACATGTCCCATCCATGGAAACATTCAAGGTCAGGCTGGAGAGGGCTCTGAGCAACCTGATCTAACTGAAAATGTCCCTGCTCATTGCAGGGTTTAGGCCTAGATGACCTTTAAAGGTCACTTGCAACCCAAATCACTCTATGATATCTCAAAACACACACCTTTGATGCATTTCAGTTATCACTTCACTATATCTCAACAGAACTGCAAACCTTTAAATACAGATTTATTGTTACACTGGTGCTGCAACGCTAGAAGATGAGTCACTCCCCTTCTCCTTGTCTCACTTGTCCAAGTACAAAAAAAGGCTTTTATTAGCAGTACATACTTGCTGCCAATTTCTTACAATCACACTATACCAGCTGGTCTGTATGATAGCCTAAACTCTTCCACTGGCTGGCCTAGATTTTTTGCTAGCACAAAGCCAGCCTGAAAGCCAGTGGACATTCCCTTGCAGGTCAACAGCTCTGAACCATCAGACCAGTACCCTGAATTCTACTCTCATGACATGCTGTCTGCAAACTTCCTACAACACCAAATTTTGTTCAAGAGCAACATCACACAACAGCATTAAGACATTTCGTTCCTGTTTTTACCTCTGGTTGGTCTGTCTCTATTCTTTTCTCTTGCAGCCACCCTCTCTCTCTCCTCCAGCTCCCTTCTGAAGTCACGGTTGCGCACCTCCTCGGGAGCATCTTGAGTGGCCTGCCTAAACAACACCAGGGAGGAAAATGAAATGAAGCTGGCAGCCTGCAGCTCAGAGCAATGTGTTGAAGGAGGTCAATAGATCCTGGAGTGAACAGGTAAGTTTAGAGAATAAGAACGGGGTACCATGTAGACATAGGTTTCTCTATTCCCTCCTCATCCCCCCTTCTCTGCAGGCATGACACACAGACACACAATGCCACACACACGTGCTCCTTCCAGAGGCTCTCGAGTTGAATTGAGAGACCCTGCTGAAATTCCTGCAAAAACAGAATATCCCATGAGATTAAAAAAAAAAAGCTGGGAAAACAGGCAAAACATTAGTGAAACATGGGAATACATGGTTTTGCTCCTTTTGTATAACTCACATTGGCCAAAAGCAACACCCTTTATATTTGAAGCACACTAAGTTCCATCTAGTGAGCACTATTTTCTGTGAAAATCTTGAGAAGAACTAATGAATAAAAACAACCAGCAATTCCTTTCACCTTTCTGTGAACTCAGTGCTAGAAATAAGAACCCCTGGAGGAAACCCACACTTGAGCCACTATAAATACACTGTCTGCACAGCCTGTCTTTAAGATGAAGTCTTTAATTTGCTTTTGTAATTAAAAACCTGAACCCTGATATTGCTGCAAAATCCCCCCCAAACCCTGTGTCATTCAAGCAAACATGAGTGGCAATGAAACATCTAACTTTTCTGGTCATGACGCAGTCCTGGTAATTTAACAAAGACAACATTGTATTAGGTATTTGGGAGAAAGAACAGGAGACACTTGATGCCCCTTTCCATCTCTGGCAGGAACACAAAAAGATTGGTTAAAACATACATTGTATATTTCTGTACATATTTGACCCCACAGACTTCCTTCAAAGCAACAGACTGGTGTTCCACACGCCACTTTTGATTAAAGAAACCACCAGTCATTTTTCCCATAACAACAAAATGCACCTGACAGCACTTTTTGTGCTGTTGATTTTGCTAGTCCTCTAAACACTCCAACTCTTACCCAAATGTATTCTTCAAAACCCAAAGGGTGGGAGGGAAGAGGTGAAAGGGGAAGCTTCTGCACAAAAAAGTGGAAATACAAAATCTTAACAGTAACTTCACTGACAAGAGTAAGGTTAATTAGATGAAAAAAAAAATATTTTCTAGCCTAATAGATTTTATTTAAATTCTAGGTATCTGTATTACACTGACTCCCAATTTCCTTTAAGCTTTCAAAAGCATAACAAAGATTTACTATGCATTTCAAACAGAGGAAAATATTCATAAGATCTCATTACCTTTAACACTGATTAAAGCAATTTCCTCCCCCAGGATCTGCATGAACCACCTGCAGTGTTTAACATCAGCCCTTCAAACACATACTGAGTGTTTTTTTCCACTATTTCCCTGCGCCCTCTTCATGCCCCTTCCCCCTGCAGACCTTTGCCAAATATATAACACTATTTTCCTCCTTTCAGGACATGCCCAGCTTTGCTCCCCTTGTCCCATCTTGCTCTGCCAACAACAGCACCCTCAGCAGCTCCTGTCATTGCCAATTATTTTCTTTCTACTCCACTGCCTGAAATGCTTTTTCTCCCAAGCTCACCTCATTCCCTTGATTCACTTCTGTACCTGGTAAAAAATACCACTAAAATTAAACCTCTCCAATTACTTGCAGTACATCCCATCTCCTAGGTCTGCTTTTGAGACCTACACGTTCAGCCCACTCATCCAGCACCACTGCACAATCTCTGGTGTCTGCTCAGAGTCCAGCACATCCACATCCACTGAGTAAAACTTCAGAGTACTGTGCATAACAAAAAAATCATTCCCAGGCTGTTTTGCTGTAAGACAAAAAACCCAACACCAACCTGTATTTTATTTTAGTGTGAGAAGGAAGGTCTCTGCTGGAATATTGTTTTGATAGCTGACTTAAGTCTCCTTCACCTTTTCCTCTTCCTCCTCTGGCAGGTTCAAATGTTGGCCTCGCTGCTGTGGTCATTTTAACTACTACAGAATGAAGGGTTAAAAACAGCTGTTAGTACAACTTACAATGAAAGACACTCACCAGAAGCTACTTTGTTCCTGGAACTGTGCAAGCAACAAGTCCCACTAGAGAACACCAGCTATTGCTCAGCTCATGATCCTCAAAATTTATTGAGCTTTTTATTGACAGAGTCTATTCAGAGTTTCCAAAGAAAGTCTTTTCCAACATGTCTGAAAGATGATACACAGATTCTAACAAGAATATGAAGCAGTGTTTACGAAGTAAGTACAACTACCCAGGAGTGAATCTCCTACTCTTAAGACAAGTGATTCAGACTTGAAAGTAAACTCTTTCCTCTCCTGAAGGGTGACATTTAAAATGACTGCCTACTGGGAATGACCCCTTGAGGATTCCCCAAACCATATCTAGGTATCATGAACAGAAATGCTGGCTGACACAGACTATAGCATGCTCAGGATGGTGTTGATAATTAGATACTGATGAAGATTATGCAGCTGGAATGCTCCAGCCCTCACCATGGCCCTATTCAGTTCTCTAGTACCAGCACAGAACTGTCACCAATACTGCAGCACAGTCCTTTGGGCCCAGCCTATGCATAGCTCCACCAGAGCCTTCTGAGGGGCCAAGGTTAATGCTTCCCTGGTAGCACAAGGCCAACAGCTTTGCCTGTATGTAAACAAGGGGCAATTAAAAAAGCTCAGATAAATGCAGAAGTTTTCACTAGCTCTCATTTAGAAACTGCAGGAACTCATGTACACCAGCACATCCTAAAAAATTAACTAGCTGTTGCTCAAAATGGCTGCTACCAAGTCCCACATGGGTGAAGGAGCAAAACAGGCTCCAACCAGCCTCGGCCACACAGACACCCTGTCAGCAGGCACTTGCATTCCATGCTGCTGGACAGGAGGTGGATGCCCTGCAATCCTAAACCACTGTGCCAAGGGTTTAAGATGGTTAACCAATGCCAAAACCCCTGCATGATCAACCAGTGCGATCTTAAAATCTACTGCCTGCAACTATGCACCCTCTGCTTCACCCAGACACAGGCATCCATCAACCACAGACTAAAGATGCAAGAGAGAATAATTTGCAGAGATACATAATGGCACCAGTCCTACCCATCAGAGGGTTGGATGTTGAAGAATGACAAGAGAACATGTAAAATAATATTAAAAAGCAAAGAAAGAAACATTATATTGCTTCATATGCTTTTGTGATACATAAATAAAATGCATTTTAATATTTATGCTCTGCTTGCATTATTTTTTCACTTGTAATGAGATCACAAAATACATTACTTCAGTGTTAAAACTATTTAAAAAATGTGTTGCTTAAAGGAACATGACACCAGGCAGAACACAGTTCCTGTGTCCTGTACACTGCACTGCTACTCAAGAGAACCAAATCAACACGCAGGAAACACCTTCAAAAAGAAGCCAGACAGTACCTTGGCTGATTGACCAAGGACTGCTGATGCTTTTCAGTGATGCTGTTCGAGTCAGCTGGAGCTCAGCAAGACATCTGAGCTCTGCCTTGGCACAGACTTTACCAGACTCATAATCCAAGAAAGCCACTTGCTCTCAGAGCTTATACGTGCTCATGATACGTTAACAGGGGGAATCCATGGATTCAGATGGAGAAACAGATCCAACGCGGCGACCCTAGAAACTGTCCCTACTTCTTCCTGAAGTCAGTCTGCAGTGGGACTGGCCTTATAGGACCCAAATTAACTCCGAAACCACTCACGGCCCGTCACACCGACCTCTGGTGCTTCAGACATGCAGCCCTGGAGAGGCCAGGAAGGGATCACTGACTGACGGACTGAGGGGGTTCGCCCGGAGCTCCCCG